ATAGTAATTATAGAGGAAATTATACCGATGCGTAAATTAAGCATGCAATGGACGCCCGATTTTTGACAGAAATATGTCCACAATATCAAGCAAGACATACTGAGCCCGTCTGTGCCACAGTCTATAATAATAATAATAATCTTTATTCATCAAAATACCAATGCAGGCATGCACATATGAAATTACATACATTAAAAGATACAAAGCGTATCTATATATAATAGCTATAACATATAAGATTATTAAAAGTGCATTAAAATTTTTATATTATGAATGAATATAATTGAGACAATAGCACTCGCGACAAGTTCAATCAACACAGATAAATGAGATAATGTACGTATAGTTCTAGCTGTTGTGTCTTAGCGTTGCATACTCAAACTGTGATCGCTAAATCCCCACTATATACATAGCTATTATCAGCTCGCGAGTTTATGTTCTTTTTTCCAACTTTGGATTGTGCTATTATATATAGTGTTCTTGTCTGGCTATTTTCATGCATAATCTTATTATAGCACGTAGTCCAGCGGATATGCACAGATATTTGAGAAAATCATGCACTTTGTGAAGAAAGCACCAAATTCATAGGAAGTGAAGACTTTAACATGATAATGAATCTTAGATATGGAGGCATCACCAAAATTGATGCTGACGGCTTAAAATTTAGGATTTCTTATATCCTCTTATGAATCTCTTATACAATTAAAAATTGTGAAATTGCAGGTTCACATATAGCAAAAATGACATGCGTCATTAGAAAGCTTACAAAAAACTGCATATAAGACATTTAAGCAGTTACTTCGATTTTCCAACTCCTCTGGAGTTATGAGCGGTTGAAAATATGTTTTAGGGCTAGTGTCCAGGACTTTGGCGGGATTTTTGCCTATTTATCACGTTTTTAAATAGCAATAACTGGAAAACCGCTTGGAAAATCAATCAGCCGTTTAAAAGTCTTATATGTAGTTTTTTGTAAGCTTTCTAATCATGCGAGCCATTTTTGCTATATGTGAACCTACAATTTCACAATTTTAAACAGTAATAAAGTTTAATAAGAGAATATAAGAAATCCTAAATTTTAAGCCGTCAGCATCAATTTTGGTGATGCCTCCATATCTAAGATTCATTATCATGTTAAAGTCTACACTTCCTGTGAATTGGGTGCTTTCTTCACAAAGTGCGGGATTTTTTACTTTTCCGCTGCACTAACGCTAACTAATTTAATTTCCTTTATGAAATTATGACTCACGAAAAAATTGTCAACAAATCTTACGCAAAATTTCTTACAATATAGAGACTGTATGCATGTTTCGTATGTGTACTATACTTTAAGTTTTAGGTCTGATAACTATTATATATTGCGCATATATAGTCGCGTTATACAGTAGAGACCTTTAATATATACTAAGTCTCAGGTCGGCTGTGTTATGTAAAACTGATATCGCCGCATGTCTCCGGTAACAGATTGTCTTTAGACTTGGAAATCCATAATGGAAATCCATAAAATTTGAAACGTTTATAAACACCAAATTAAGTGATCTATTTTGTGTGTGCATGCGTCTGCATCCATCTGGATAAATGTGTGGTTGTTAATTCTGAATCAGTGCACTGATGTTTTTGTATATTTTTGTTCATTGCTTTATACCATTCTGTACAGATCCGTTGAAACGGTCGCCGAATATCGTTTAAACGGTTTCTTAATTCCGTTCAAACGGTTTGTTAAAACCGTTCGTAGAGCCGTTAAATTTTTTGTCTTCATCCGTTCGTATTTTTTACTCAGAACGTCTAAAACGTTTTGAGGATCCGTTGAAACGATTTGACAAAGCGTTTACTATCCGTTCGTTATCCGTTTTTTTGCCCGTTTTATTGCAAAATCGTTAACGTATGTTTTCCCGTGGAAGGTCACATTTTGTCCTAAATAATAAAAACCCATGCATAGAGATCACACAACCATTAGCGGCTAAAGGCAATGCAATCAATATATAATTACAAAACACATCTTAGAAAAAATATTAATAAATCAATAAATTTACCGACTCAGTGAAATATGACTTCTCTGATTTGCAAAATTGCAACATGGCAACACGTGGGGATTCCATGATTTAGCTGCCGCACTCGTACACACGTAAAATTCTCACATCTTGTAACAAGTCTGCCAACAAGCCGTCAACAAGATGTATTTGCACTGCTTGTCACAAGTTGTCAACAGGTTTGGAACAACTTTTTGACAACTTGTAACAACCTTGTCAAAGTTATCAGACTTGTTGCAAGGTTGTTCTGACAAGTCTGTTACATGCTTGATATAACAAGATTGTTACAACCTTGTTTTGACAACCTTGTAACATCCTTGCACTAAAACTTGTAAGTGGGCCTTTTTTCCCATCAAAATGAATTAAACATGAATCAGAAGACGCCATGTTTACAAATGCTAAGCTGGAAACTTCATATAAGAATGAGCATGAGCCCGCGAAAATCGGCATTTAGAGTGTTTATTACACCAAGTATCCTGAACAAAAATGGCGGCGATCGATTGCGAAAGATGTCGATTTCTTCAATTTTCAAAGAAGAAATACTCGAAAACTGCAGGTTTTGGGAAGTGCAAACAAGCGGATTTGAACTTTGTATAATTTATCCTAATTATTTATCTTGTTTCAAAGTAGTGCCCGAACCCGGGCAACGGAATTCGTTTTCTAAGCGACTTTTCGTGCCACAGAATACGGCCTATATGGTTTACGATTCCAAACAAACTAGCAGTCTAACAAACAAACAATTTCAGGCATCGAACATAAAGCGATGACTATAACTTCTTAAAGTACCGCAATAGTCAAGATTATAATCTTAATAGGCGTGGACTAAAATAATCACTATAAATATTTAGTACAGTAATCATATAGTTATGGGCAAGGACCACCGGAATGAATATGCCTCATCATCCTTGCGTTAAATAATTTACTCTGCCTCTTGAGGGTGAGAAAAGGTGTTCTGATTAACATATTAAAAATCCCAAAAGTCTCTTCGGTGGAACATGGTGAAAATCGAGTTTCTCTTACTTCTACCTATAGAAACCATTGTGGACAGAATGTTGTGTCCATAGCTTCGTACCATTTATGGAACATATATAATAATGCCATTGTGGAACTTGATCTTTTAAGCGCACCAAATTGGAGGTTATCAATTTGACCGCTAACTGACCGTAAGAGGGAAATAACTATAAGGGAATAGTAACTATGAGGGAATAATAGTAACTATGAGGGAATGACTCTAAGATCTTGCTTACAATTGGCGTAAGAGAGATCGGTCTAAAATCGGAATCAATGGCCAGGGCAGGTGACGATTTTGGCACAGGAGACACATTGGCGGATTTCCACAACAACGGGATGTTTCCTTCTTGAATAGAAGCATTGAAAATGGATGCCAATGGACGGGATAGGGAGGCAGAGTTTTCACGGAGGAGCCAAGGAGAAATCTCATCTGGACCTGCCGCCGAATGAGATTTTACAGATATTAGTGCTTTCTCAACTTCATCAATGGAGATATAAAAATCTAAAGGAACGTCATCAACTGCGATGGGTGTCCATGAGAATGGAGGAAGGGTGCTTCCTACAGCAACAAACTTGTCGTTAAACAAGTTAGCTAGGGCGGAACCTGAGTAGGATTGACCATTGTATAAGATAGTGGAAACGTTTTTCGTTGCACCAAGGCCAGCTATGTTCTTTATGTTGGACCACCACTTATGCGGATTTGATTCAAAGCAATCAGCGACATTACTGTTGTAAAATCTTGAACGAGCTCTCTTGCAAAGCGAATTTACTTTGTTTCTGTAGAGACGAAACATGATATTGTTTCCGCTATTCCAAGCTGGTTGACGTTTGGATATTAATCTTTTGATCTCAGATGTTACCTAGGGCTTATCACTACTATCCGATTTTATACGTTTCATTGGAAGGTACTGGTCGACAATGCCATTAACAATTAATGAAAATTATTGAAACTTATCGTTGCAAGAGTCCATACTATACAGGGGAGACCAATTTATACTAGACAAAGCCTCGAAGACGAACTTCCGATTAGAGGATCGCGTGTCTCTGACCATTGGGGTACTCCGGGAGTTCATACATTGCTTCAGCGGTTTTATGAACACTGAGTTATGGTCAGAGAAACCGACAGGTGGGAGAATCTCAGGAACGTTATAAAATTTGGACGCATTTGTAAATATTTTATCTAAGATGTTGGATCCTCTTGTTGCATGCTTAACAACCTGTTTAAGGGAAAACGAGTTACATAGTTGACTGTGCCTAAATTGGTTAAAATCGCCTGCAATGATGATAGCTGACCCTGGATAGGATGTCAATGCACTGTCGAGGGACTCAATAAGGTGTGTTAACAAGACCCTATCGTCGCTTTTCGGTGGATGGTAAGTTGCAACTAAGATGATAGAATTAATTCCTTATGGTAGTCGCCTTGGTTTTATTAGGAGCCATAACGATTCAACTTCGGGATGTGAAAGTTCCTTAAAATGAACCACTGGCATATGATCGTTTACATAGGCACAAACACCTCCACCTCTTCTACCATCACGTCGGTCACGCCTGAATATGGAGAAGCCATTTAGATTTATCGCTGAATTGCTGACATTAGGAGAAAGCCAAGTTTCCGTAATGACCACAATATCCAGAGAAAGCAAAGAAACAGTTCCAGACAGCTCATCGATTTTATTGACTAATGACCTCAAGTTGGATAGGAACAAGGAGGGTAAGAAGGGTATACGAGGCATTGCTGCCAAATTTAATTCTCCGAAGGTTACGACAATTACTGAGTATGCCAGAATTATAATTGCGGATAGATCGGTGATCACGTGCAGTAATCCGAACGGGGATCATGGTAGAAGGAACCTTGTGGAACTCTGTAAGATTTTTAGGAGGACATGGGGGGGGGGGATGTTTGAAGCCCTCGAAATGCAAGGGGTGTTATAATATTCCGATAATATTAACTCTTGGGTGGTTCTATACTAGTGTTGATTTGTGAGTCATTTGACTCACAAATTGTAGATAAACTGCCCATTCCATAGATTGTTTTTCCAAGACAATACGCGGGGGTCGATAATTGGCAGGGCTCTTTCGAAAAGGAGCAATTTTACGTTGAGGTTGAGTAAAATCTCTTAGACTTGAGGTTTTAGATTGATATATACCGTGTTTGTGACTATTCGGAGACATAACGTGCTGCGGTAATAATGTTTCCAGATTTGAGGTTTTAGATTGATTTAAACCGTGTCTGTGACCATTTGGAATTTTTCCTAAAAATTTCTTCGATCTGTTGGATAAAAGGGGACTATTTGATTCCAAAGATTGGCGCGGAGTCATAACGTGCTGCGGTAATAATGATGTTTCATTTAGGTTATTTACTTGTTTACAATTAAAACGTTGAGTATCACACAGCGGTAATTTATTCAGGAACTCTTGATTGGCATGACCTGATATTTGCAATTCGGGGGTTTGATCTTGATTCCTTTTGTTAACTTGCAACGAGGGAGTAATAGGCGCTTGAGGTGGAACAATAGGCGGTTGTGGAAAGACAATAGGCACTTGGGGTATAACAATAGGTGATTGATTTGAGTTAGCATCATAATCCTTTAAACATTTTTCCAATTTCATGTCCAAGGAATTAATTTTGCTTTTAAGTTCCCTCCCCATCGAGCACAGATTCAAGATGCACAATGTTGTCATTATTAAAACATATGGCTTGCGTATTTGCCAGCGATTGTAGAGCATCCACTCTGGTTAATATAATTTCGAAATTGATTTTCATGTTTTCAAAATCAGATAACAAGTCAACACACAACGGACTCGGCTGTTTGCACATATCTTTAACTGCGCTACACGAAACGTTCGAGGTCTGTGTTTGTGATGAATTAGTCATGCCATCAGTGTCCCGACTATTAAGCACAGGGATATTTTGAACACACACTTTCACGCTGTTTTCAAAAGTATTAAACGATGTTGACTTACATACCGTGACCAGAATATCGTTTACTAAGTCCCCAGTTTTGCCATGGAATAACAAGGAGTTTAATTTACCAGGATACCATGTGCAAGATAAATCAGCAATAGAACTTACAAACTTTTTTGAAGTTCCTCCGGCCGATTTCCATTTGCCTTGTTGTGCAAATACACATTCGATAAATTTCTGTAGTGATTCATAATCGTTATGCCAGCTGATTCGTTTACCATCATAATCTATATCTTGAGAAACTTTATGTCTATAGATTCCTTGGAAATCCCATGTTGATAAACAGATATTTCTATTTAAATTACTGAACTCAGACGAGCAACACACCGTCATGTTGTCGATTCGTTTCTGGTATTATGCACTCAGGTACATGAGGATATATTTTTGTGATGTTGTCTCTGAGTGTGTCCAAGCCGGGCAAGCTGAAATGTTTGCTTGATACTCGGCTTGATATATGTTTGCTTGATTGCTAGGGACGGCCAAGCTAAGGAAGACTGCCCTTATTCTCTGCCCTCACTCTCTAATTTGTTAAAGCATTCTTTCAACAATAGCAATTCTTTTTATAAAATAACATGTATATAACGCGTGCTCTGATTGGTCGAAACCTGTGTTTGGATCAGGCCATCCAAACACGGAAGACTATCGTGTTGTTGTTATTTTATAATGCATAGTTGACTACAGCTAATTCAAAAAAGGTTGTCCTTTGCAAACCTTAAACTCTAAACCTTAAACCTTAACCTCTAAGCGTGCAAAGCTTAATGGGAGCATCATTTACTCAGTTTATAAAACACTTGGGAATGTAAACACTTGGCAATGTTGCTCGAGTTAAGAAAAGCGCGCAAAATCACTCGCCTTCGGCGCTGAAAATCACTCGCTTTAACTCGCGCGCTTTTCTTAACTCTCGCTACATTCTCGCGTGTTTGGATCAGGCCATCCAAACACGGAAACCATAAAGTAATCGTATAGTCAACCATGCATGCAAAGGGCCGTTTCTCGGTTAGTGGAATGAATCTCTCTTGTGTCTATAAGAGAAAATTACATCCCTATTGGATTGCCGGGGATTCTCATTTTGACATTGTTTTGACAGTTGTTAAAAATAGCATAGCTGATTTGCACCCGGTAAGCGATATTATCGCCTTTTTTGAAGCAAGAACGTTTACATTAGCATCACCGACGTCCAGTACTACACAATGTGATATTAGCCTAATGTACAGGTAGGATGTTTAATTTGTGCTCCTCATCTGATAGTTTCCACTGTTCTTTTGTCAATAATATACATTAAAAAATTTAGTAAAAGCCGCGTAATTCTTTCGAAATACAGTACCAAAAAATGAAATACAGTGAAATTTCATTGACTATAAGATACAGCCAATTCTAGTAGATAAAAAATACAAAAAAACACTTAATTAAAAGTGACAAAAATGGGTGGCGTTTTTAGTAGATTTTCTAATAAAATTATTTATATTAATATGAACTATTTCGCGCATGTGATCTACGCACGCATGTGACGGCATAATTTTTCATGTATCTTATTAATAACTAATAGTGTGCGGTTTTTAGTGCAATTTGGAAAGACATGCACTCATGAGTTTTCAAAGGCTTCAAATTGCACTCGCCCTTCCATCTCGTGCAACTTTGATCGTCTTTGCCGAAAAACTCACTCCTGCATGTTTTCCCCAAATTGTACTCGAAACCATATTATTACACAGCGGTAAAACATTTGTGCATGCGTCAACCTTACTAAAATTTGCATTGTGAACGTGATGTCAAGTATTCCGAAGGTTAATTGTCAAAAACTCAAAATGAAAGCGACAAGGATCGTCTTCGATGTTTTGCCTTTACTGTGAAAATGCAAGCGAGATAATGAATGTGACAACTGTTATGTTGGTGTTACATGAAGTATAGAACGTTGCATCAGGGGGGTCGGGGGATTTTGGGAGTGAGCACATGTGTGTAGGTTTTATGTTTTAGGACGTTGAAATAAATAAGATTTTGAAGATATAACATTGGTGACGAGGGTAAATTTATGCATTACCGGTTAATATTAAAGAACGAGTGATTCATTTTGGGTGTTTGCGAGAAGTGAAGATTCAAACGTGAGATAAAAAATCGGCGGACAATCTAACATATACGGTATTTGTGCCATTTTGTGAAGGTATTTGATCATGGCGAGCGCGGGAAATCTATAACCCATCCCACGGCGTGTGAAAAGCTCACTGAATATTTTAGTCCTTCTAAGAATGTACCTTTTGATGTATATAAATTTCGTCAAGCTAAGCAACAAGAACATGAGACATTAGATGCATATTATACTAGACTATGTACTTTGGCCAAAACATGTGAATTGGAAGACACAGATACTGAGCTGAAACAACAAATAATTGAAGGATGTTTATCTAACAGATTGCGACCAAAGATTTTAATGGAAAAAACATTTAACCTGTCACAAATATTAGATTATGGAAGAGCATTAGTTCGTACAGACCAACAAACAAAGGAAATTATAAAAAAGGACATTTCTGATGGACTGGGGTTTCCACACAAGGATAACCAGAAATGTCCAGCTGTAGATAAAGAATGTTACAAGTGTCATAAAAGGGGGCATTTTGCTCGTGTATGTAAAACAACCGGAGGAGCTACTAGTTCATTCCAGCTTGTTAATAAGGTTGATGAACGGCATTCATCAACCCACAAATCAACAAGTAATTCGAGTAGTGACTCAGACAGCGGTTCAGAACACATAGAACAACAGTTCAACAAGCACAACAAAGTAAGCATCCCTATTCTACGGTCCGTGTTAATGGAGTCCCGATGAAAATGATGGTGGACAGTGGTGCGTCTGTTAACGTTTTGGGTCCTGAGGATTTCGAGCATTTACGCAAACAAAGCAAAGAACCAATATCCTTAAAAAAAAAAAAACAAAGATTCGTACTTTTGGAGAAAATAACCTTATTCCCCTATTAGGCAAAGTGGGGACATTAGTAGAATCAAAACATTGTATGACAGTGGCTACAATTTACATTACAGCATCTCAATATGGTAAATTGCTTAGTAATACAACAACACAGCAATTAAGACTTATTAAGTTTGATCTAAATTCTGTTTCTCAGCAAGCAGTACAAGAGGGTGATTTGGATAGAAAAGCCTTGCGACAAACCACAACCCAAGTTCAGATACCTACCACAACCAGTAACTCGACAAGTAGTAATGGTGAGAAAATGACAAAAGTATGCACAAGTACGCCAGACACAGGGCGAGTCTCTACTCTTTTAGAAGAGTACGCGGATGTATTTGAAGGTGTAGGACATCTTAAAGGGTTTGAACAAAAACTGCACATTGACGATAGTGTGCCACCTGTGGCCCAAACATACCGTAGAATACCTTTTAATCTTCGTCCTCAGTTAGAGAAGTGGCTTCAAGAGTCGCAGGATAATGATTTGATTGAACCTGTCGTTAATAAAAGTACAGAGTGTGTCAGTGGAGGAGTGATCGTGCCTAAGCCGAAAATCCGAACGAAATACCTGTATGTGGAGACTATCGCAGAGTTAACGAAGCCATTAAGAGGGAAGACCACCCTATGCCAACAATTGAGGAACTAACAGATGATATGAGCAATGCAGCTCATTTTTCTCGCCTAGATTTAAGAAGCGGATACAATCAAATTGTGCTTAACGAAGAATCGCGTGGTATAACAACTTTTACGACTCATAAAGGTCTTTTCCAGTGGAAAAGACTCCCTTTCGGAATTAACTCGGCAAGCGAAGTGTTTCAAAATGCTATCCAGCATGCATTGCAAGGATTGAATGGAGTTAAAAACATTGTTGATGACATAATTGTTTGGGGGCGAACTCAAAAAGAACATGATGCCAATCTTCAAGCTCTATTGCAGAGACTAAGAGACACCGGATTGACTGCAAAGAAAAGTAAGTGCCTTTTCAATGTGGACAGTTTATGGTTTTATGGCATGATTCTTAGTAAGAATGGGATTAGGCCTGACCAAGAGAAAGTTGTTGCAATAAAAAATACACCTGCCCCAAACAATGTAAAAGAACTTCGTAGCTTTCTAGGACTCGTGAATTACTGTTCGAAGTTTATTCCTAATTTCTCTACCATTACGGCGCCGCTACGGAAATTGGATCGCAAAAAGGTTCCATAGACATGGGACGCTAGTCATCAAGAGGCCTTTGATCAGGTTAAATCTTCGCTATCTGAACAGTGTACGTTGGCCTATTATGACCCTAACAGATCAACGAGTGTTGTTGTGGATGCTAGTCCTGGGCTATTTTGGTTCAACATGACGAACAGGGCATTTTGAAAGTGATTGCTTTTGCTAGTAGAGCACTAACAGTAGTTGGACAGCGATACTGTCAGACAGAACGAGAAGCGTTGGCATGTGTGTGGGCATGCGAGAAATTTCATTTATATTTAGTTGGTTGTCAGTTTACCTTGTATACAGATCATCAAGCGTTAGAAATCCTTTCCTCAGCAAAGGCCAAACAATCTGCTCGAATACAGAGATGGGCATTGCGCCTCCAGCAGTATAACTACACGGTCAAGTATCGTCCAGGGACAGGGAATCCGGCAGATTTCCTTTCGCGGGCACCAATTAACGAGCCCTCGGGACAGTCTATTGCCGAAGAATATATTAACTTCATAACAGAGCAAGCCATTCCCAGAACAATTACCTGGTCAGAGGTGCAAGAAGCGACAAAGAACGATAAGGAACGGCAGTCAGTTGGACGAGCACTTCAGTTTGCCAAATGGAAAGACAAATCCATATCAGCTTATTTTGCAGTACGGCATGAAATAACATAAGTAAGGGGTGTACTGTTGAGAGGACACCGACTGATTATACCAATATCACTTCGAAATAGAACTCTAGCCCTGGCACACAGGGGACATTTGGGAATTGTCAAGACCAAACAAAATTTGAGAACCAAGGTATGGTGGCCTAGATTAGATAAAGAAGCAGAACAACATGTAAAGAGTGTTTGACGTGCCAAATATCTGGTAATCCTGAACCCCCTCCGCCTCTAGCAGTTGTCCCACCTCCAACGGCACCATGGTCATGTATTCATGTTGATTTCTATGGACCAGCACCTACAGAAGAGCATCTATTGGTGCTGTTAGATGAAACAACCGGATTCCCAGAAGTTGAGATTATGAATAAAACCACAGCTTTTCATACAATACGAGCGTTTGAAAAAGTTTTTGCCCGACACGGACTGCCAGACACAATTAAGAGCGATAATGGGTCGCCGTTCCAGTCCAAGGAAGTTAAGGACTATCTGACAACACAAGGCATCCACCATCACCGTGTAACACCTTTATGG